CTCTCTCTCTCTCTCTCTCTCTCTCTCTCTCTCTCTCTCTCTCTCTCTCTCTCTCTCTCTCGTTTTACTTACATTTGTTGTATTCTGCGTTTTATACCGATTTCTTTTCCAATTTCTTGTACTTAATTCTCTTTAATTTTTTGTGCTTTTTCGTATTATTTTTTAATTTCACTATGCTCTTCTTGTCGATTCTTACTTCTCCTCAATGTTAAAAAATTGTTTAGTTTCCGTATTATTTTGGTTTATCTCGAACGTTCTTAGAGGACATGTTCCTAGATGTACCGATGATAAAAGTTCAATCGATCGATCAATCAATCTCTCAATAAATAATAGATATCTCTCCGTCTCCGTCGCTCCTCCAACCCGATTAACGTCGCCGCTCGATCGCCTTGATGGAGCGTGATCCGCGCACTTTCGCGGGCATAACAACAACGGCCGTCAACGTGTCAGCGAACTGCGCCTTCCAGCGCCACGATGCTTCCCTCCGTTGTTGGGGAAAAACGTGCCGTCCTCGTTGCCGACTCGCTGTTATCGCGCGCTCAGGTCTGTCGCACATTGACAGTCACGACGGAAACGATATCGGGAGCGGCTCTCGCGAGCGTGTCTTCGCCCCGAGCACGTTTCAGGACGTAAATATACACGGCGATGCGCGCGAGCAACAGCACCGCCAGCCGGGTTGCATGTGCGATGCGCTCGTCGCGGCGTCCCCCGAGGTCCGAGGGCGTGCTGCTGCTGCGTTGTGTCCCTCTCTCTCTTCCTCTCGCGATGGCAGTCGCAGACGTCCACCTTCTCGTAGGTTAGGAGGAACGACAACAATAACAATGGCGAGCCATGGCAGCCACGAGACAACGATGACGATGACGACGATGACTGCGGCAACGGTACGATCGCAATCTCCACGATCACCCTCGGTCCTCTCTCGCTGCACGTTCACGGCGTCGGGAACCAAGTAGGGAAGATCCCGCGGACTCCGAGATGTTGCGACGGCCACTCTCTCACTCTCGCTACGCTCCCTCCTTCACCGTCCGTCCACCGTCTCTCTCGTCTCTTTCTCTTCCTTTCTCACTCTCCTTCTCTCTTTCTCTCCACGTCTCGGCACGCCTCGAATCCACCTGTCACGCGGTTTCGTCTAATTTCGCCCGCCACCGATCTCAGACGGCTCGGGTCGCGTCTCGGGCGCGCCGAGGCTCCTCAACGGTGGCTCGGACGTGCCATGCCACCGTCGCTCGCGCATTCCTCGCGCGAGGAAGTAATTCGCGACGCGCGTCCGCGATCGGGGGAGGACCGTGTAGACGTCGGCCGGACTGCATTATACTTCACGACGAACGGAGCCGTCACACAGCGCGTACGCCACGAGGTGCGGCCGTTTTGCGAGCGAACGAGCAAGTGAGCGAGCGAGCGCGGATCACCGAGCCCTCCTCCTCCTCCTCCTCCTCCTGCACCTGTTTGTCTCTCCGAATAACACAATTTACTGCGTGGTCCACGACGGTGACGTGTATACACACGAGTGCGCGCGCGTGCTCTCATACGCGTGCGAGAATAAACACCGACACCGACTCACTCACCGCGCGCGCGCGCGCGCGCGCACGCCGCACTCACACGCACGCGCAGAGGAACAGAGATAGAAGGACGAGGGGAGGGAACCGGACGGTCAGCCAGACAGACAGACAGACGGAGAGCGTGATACGCAATACGATTCACGGCGCAGGGAGGGCGAGAGAGAGAGAGAGAGAATGTGTGGGAGAAGGGCGACGTGACGGCAGAGGGGAGGGAAGAGACACTCACAACAAGACGGGTTCTTTCTCTTTCTCTTTCTAGTCGCGAGCGAGCGCCGCGCGTCCCGTCCCGAGTCTCTTTCGTGGAAAACGTGTTACAGCGTGGCGAGGAAACACGACCGACCGACGTATGTCTGTGTAGAGACGGACGGACGGTGAGCCTCGCTGCTCGCAGGTGGGCGGCTGGCCGAAATCCGAAATTCGCCCCTTATCGGCACACAGCGACACAGCTCG